CCGTTGTTGTCCGTTCGGTCGAGTCTCAGTGTGTGTGTGTGTGTGTGTGTGTGTGTGTGTGTGTGTGTGTGTGTGTGTGTGTGTGTTACCTCTATAATGTATAGGACCACGTTCTTGTAGAAACAGTAGAGGATGCACTTGGTGACACGGTTGTAGCTCCACGCCCCATGGACCAATAGCAGCTTCTCTAGATAGCAGAACTACCAATCAGGGGAAAGGAGAGCAGAGAGAGATTAATTACTATAATTACAAGAGAAAAAAAAGAAGTAAAAAAAAGAACATTTAGTCTGGAAATGGAGCCGAGATAACATTAAGAATGTGGTAACGAGACAAGTGGAGGCAAGACGCCAAGAGGCTAAGAGATCAACAACCCAAACAGCGAAAGTGACAGAAAAGACGGACTCAGCAGTAATTAGGAGAACCCTCTGGCTAGTTTCATCAAGTTGGTGTTATGGGTCACACAGATAACAGATAACAGATACTATTCTTGTAAGAATTGCGGGGAAAAGAGATGGTATATTAATATCTTAAATACGTTTTGAATTGATTAAATGCTACCATTAAATAGACCTTAGCTTTAAGAAGCAAATACACACTCCCTGAAATTACGAGGAGCATAAACGTCTTTAGATTTTCTTATCGACTTAATTGTAAGAGTTGTAAGAGTTCTTGTTAGACAATATGACACTTGAGTGACCCCCTAAGTTAATTAAGCTTCCCTCTGCAGTGATGTCAAAGATCAGTATGACGAGGACAGGACTCATAAGACACTTGATTAGGGTGCATGGACCGAGCATAAATCCATTATCTACGTTCAAATGAAGCCTGTAACCTATCTGTACGAGCCTAATGAAGCATGAAGGACTGTCCTCTGCATGTCTCTACGCTGTGTCTGCGTCCCACCTGTGCTATGGAGTAATCAGAGGAGTTGGTGGCCTGCATGCCCTCGTTGCCGCTGATCCCGACTCCAACGTGAGCCGTCTGGATCATCCCCACGTCGTTGGCACCGTCGCCTATCGCCAGCGTGATCGCCTTCACGTGCTTCTTCACCATGTCCACGATCTCTGACTTCTGAAGCGGAGACACTCTGCGGACACAATGAGAAGAGAAGGAGAGATTCAGAATACTTTATTGTACATTAGATTAACATATAATGAACTATAAATACAATTAATTATACATACAAAATGTGATGATGGTAACGGTGGCAGATTGTCCTCAGAAGGATCCTTGAAAAGGGGGCTTAAGTTTGTGTGTGTGTGTGTGTGTGTGTGTGTGTGTGTGTGTGTGATAGGCATGCACAGCAGTACAAATACAAGAACACTGTGGGAAAAATGGAAAACAAGAAACACATTTTTTGAAATAAAACGGGAAATAAAACAAAAATGGCAGCAATTAAGAGACGAAGAATAAAGCCTGAAAAGTGGGAAACTGTTGCGCGTAAAAAGAAAGATGGCAGGAACACGAACACACGAACACACACCATGTATACATCACTTCAGGGGACATTACATTGACTTATATGCATTTCCTGGAGACTTATCCTAACCTTAACCATAACCAACACATGCTTAACCCTAACCCTTAACCTAATCCTAACCAAGTCTTCACCCTAAAATTAATGATTCCCCTTATGGGGACCTCCAATTTGTCCCCATAAGGGAAGCCAGTCCCAACACGTGACTGTGTAGACAGATTTAGGNACACAACACACACCAACAAACACACACAATCACACACACACACACACACACACGTGATACAGCCGGTGCGTTGTGTGTGTGAGTGTGTGTCAGGGAGCCCTTCCAGCGGTACTCCACCCTGCTTGACTGTATCACTGATCCCTCTTTAATAACACCCGGTTCTGTGTCTGTCGGTGACAATGAGTGGAGTCAGGGAGGCTGGATACAGACTCTCCCTCAGGGGGGGGCTGAAGAGAACGACGGGGAGTGTGCATTTTTGCGAGAGATATTGCGGGTAATGT